ACCCGATGAATTCCTCTGTTCTATTCCGGCTATAGTGAGCGTTTTAGGCATTAGGTGGGTGAAGTGAGCAATCGAGGGGCCAAGAGACGGAAACCAGGTGGGAAAATGGGAAAACGTCCATGTGGTCTTTCTGTGAGCATGTGGCTAACTTCACCTGACCGGAATATTAAATTCATGCACTGTGCTCGAATGCGTGAAGGCTGCTTATGACAGCGATGACTGAGTTCGAATGCACTGAGAGTGCGTGTTTTAATCGAGTCTTCATTATAGTCTTGAACCCAGGTGATCATTTCTTCCTTTATCTTTAGCCAAGACTCGTTGTTCTTGAATATTTGGCTACGGTAAATTTTAAATGCTTCACCGGTGACGTAGTCACTGGAGTTCGTAACCATTTCCTGTTCCGACCAAGATACAGTGGTACTGTGGAGCTCGAACAGGTCGAACCAGTCCTGTACAGGTCCATCGTCCGCTGCTTCGGTGTACTTGGGGATGGGAAGGTCAGTCGATGGATGGTTCTGTCATGATGCCGGTAACGGCATGCGCCTGAGACTACCTCTTCTGTGGTCGATATTAAGTTGAGGCGTATCCGGTGGCTTTGTGAATCACGTGAGGCTGATGAGCGGCGGCCAGGTCTTCATCCTGCCGACTCGTGTGACGCTATTTATAACTAGCAGACGTAGCTTGACTTATGCTCCATGTCTATTCCGTTCTGACGTCTTACTCATCCACCTGTACTACCATGGCTTCATACGTCATATATACATATATATATATGTGTATATATATATATATATATATATACATATATATATATATATGTGTGTGTGTGTGTGTGTGTGTGTGTGTGTTGAAAATGCGCCCAATATGTTGGTATTGCGATCGCAACACATGAAACTGTCGGCTAGATTTTCCATCAGCGTCACCATCATCCACTTTATATATATATATATATATATGTATATATATATATATATATATATATATATATATATGAGCTGCTTGCTGTATGAGATCGGCGATGTACAAAAATAAAGATACAGGCTGTTAATTCCCTGAACGTTGCGCATGTATACAATTTATATATATATGAAATATAACAGACAGTAATGCCAAGGAATGTACAGGGGAAGTTATTAGAACCAATGGAATGTAAATAAGAAAGAAAAGTGGATGAAAAAATAACCAGCCGTGATCATCCACTTATTTTTTCATCCACTTTTCTTTCTTCTTATTTACATTCCATTGGTTCTAATAACTTCCCCTGTACATTCCTTGGCATTACTGTCTGTTATATCTCATTAATATTGTGTTAAAACACGGAAAAACGAGCCCTTAGGTATACACTTCTTTCCCTTATATATATATATATATTAGAAAACGCAAGAAAGAAAAATAACCTAGAAAAAAAAGACTATGGCGCACGGAATGCAACGTTCGCCCTGCTGGTTGTGAGCACAAGGCGTTGGCCCCCGAGCCACGAAGGAGCACCTACTTCAATGTTGGAACGGCAAGCTATTTATATATTGCTTACCGCTGGTCATGGGCATCTCGGGGGAGCTATTGTGTTTTCAGCATTATCAGCGAGATGGCGCAATGTGCGCGTGTCACGACACAGACGCGCACCCTTTCATCACACACTCGTACTTTGCCCCGTGGAGAGGGGGAGTAGGCACTCACGCGTGAACTGACTTATCTCGCTGTTGGGACAATCGTACGCCTTGGTCTTTCACCGGAACGATTGCGTTGTTACCGGGCGCACAAAGGTCAATGCACTCATTGCACAGCCTTCGTTTGCGAAAAGGATGCGCTTTTTAGCCACAACGAAGTAAAAACTGAGGCGCTTATTCGTGTTCATCTGTACCTGTGAGTACGCTTCGTGCGTCATTTGTGCGTGAGAAACAAGGGGAACTTTTCAATCTGCTTGCCATTGTAGGATGGCGGCTCCCGGGTTAAAATTTTCTTTGTCGGCCTGATTTGTGCCAAGATGTGCTTGGAAAGGACTTCCGTTCAGCCACCGGCATGTCCTGGTACAATGCTTTGGAAGCGTGAACTGTTGGCACGAAACCACAAATTGTCGTGCCATTTACCAAACCTGACAAAAAGGTTGTCCCAGTTTCAATCGATGATGCCAATTGCATTAGAGACCTGTTTGGGCAAAATCCAGACGCTGTGGTCTGCAACACCGTTAGTGGCTCAGGACTGCAGTCCGGAGCTGGCACTGAATTAGGAGTGTAATTCGGCGGACGACGAGCGAGAATTCGTCAATGGTTGCCATTCCTTTCAAGTTTTGCCAAGAACATTGCCACTCTACATGTGCGGCGTGCCTATCAATAAACCTGCTTAGTATGTATAGTCCCGTGGAGTATAGTAACATCTGTAACCCCTTAATTATATTGATGTTCTGTCATGTCAATTGCACCACCCGCTTCATCATGGGAGCCCCGAGAAAAGGCATGCATTTATCAGCAGCGTCCCTGAATGCTAGCACCGCAAAAGAAAAGTTTGCTATGGTTTTAGTTGTATCGAATGCAGGAGAATAAGTCGCTGCAACAAGAAAGGGAAGGCGTGCGTAGCCTTCCTAAGTTTAGAAAATTCCATTTCAGTGGAATCATGTGTTTGATATTCGAATAACTAATGGAATCTTCGGCAGGTGGCGCCGGTCGCGTTTGTTGTGCACTCGTGCGGTGTCGTACGTTTGTCTGCGCACTACGCGTGTGGTGCCGCATGTTATAGTCTAGGCCGAATGCGCACCACCGTGCAGTGTACGCCACCGCGGCAGCACGGAGGTCGACGTTCGAGCGTTGTGCAATCCCATCAGCCCGCGGGCACTGGCAGAATACATGGTAACGTTCCATCAATGCAGGCGCAATTTACAGCTGGCGCTGCCGCACTACATGGCTGAACGGGACGGAAAACGTGCATGAGCTTATATATTGTGACCTAACTCGCACAAGGCTACTTTCGCTGCCTGGATTGCATTGGACACCCAAGGCGATAAAAAATTGCCGTAATCCTCGTCGACGTGGTACAGAACGGATGCAGCACAACACTTGGACAACAGACGTTTACCTACTGGACACGTAGCTTCTTGCAAGTCTGTCTCACTGTCTGGTTTTCTGTCGTTTGCTGTTTTATTTTCAGTACAAATAGGCCGCTGGAAATCGTCGTCTGCTGAATGGCACCTCTCGCAGAGGGCGCTGCTGTCGTGGATTTGAGTCTTGTGGTTCACATCGTTCACACGTTTGACTGGCCCGTAGCGGGGAGTGAAACTCGGGTGGTGTTTGACGTAACCTTCCTTCCACCATCACGGTGCCTGTGCACTTCAGCCGAAGATGCCATTAGTTAAAAAAACAATGGTATTGAATTCGAAAGCGCTGTGTAACCATCGCGATGCCCGCACCACGTTTTCATGCTTACGCTGCACATTCGCATCAGTGCAGCGTATGAAGGCTATACAAAGAAGCCGACTTCTTGGCTGGCCCGAAAAAAATGTTAATAGGAAATTTAAACTCTACATACTGAATGAGGTGCACTACAGGAGGAAAGAAATTGACAAACTATTTAGATTTTACAGTTAGAACAGTGGTCGGAACACGCGGCCTAACCGCCCTCTAGCTGCTTAAGATGCCAAAGTTTAAAGGAGCCCAATGGTCTTAAAACACCTAAAAAACTTAGTGCAGGCCACCACCTTGCGGGTTGCGAGAGTTCCGCTTCATGACCAAAATTTTGCCGGGAGGTTGCTGGCGGATGCACCAGCGTGCCAGTTCCTCGGGGATTTCAGTGAATTGAGGAGATACACACGAGAAACAGGCGAAATGTACTGAATTGCGCGTAAAGTTTTCCTCCTACTGGTGAGTCCTGGAATTCAAAAGAATAGAGAAATACTTGTTCACTTCTTTCGAAGACACTGAAAATACAATGCATAGCTGACTGAGTCGAGGCTTATGTCAAAAATTGCCAAATATTTCTATGTCCGCATTCATTATTTAGAGTCACCACGGCCTTCCCAAATTCATTAATTTGGCGAAAAGTAGTGACCTGTGGCAATTCTGCTGCAGGCAGAGGTAATGAATGAGTTCATGGGCCTGCTGGGAAATTACAGTAACTTCATGCTGTGGTGTAAAATTATTCTGATTTTTAGTGCCTCGAATCCCTAATTTGGCCTGAATTTGGAAGGAGTGCTCAAGGTTTTGTTCCTGATCATACACGCCTTCAGCGACGCGTTTTCAAAAATTTCCAGCTCTGCCTTCGTCATTCATATTTGTGCTTACAATCCAGAACAGCTTCAATACCTCCTCAATATATGTCGTGCACGTTTCACCGAGAAAATGAGCTCTGCACGAGAGCGTTTGTTCCGCTTTTTTTTCCTTCAAACTCGGGCCCCCCAAGCACACCTTCGATTTCTGAGCAAAGATTTCCGAAGTAGGGAGCACGTGTTCGTGATTCTCGAACCAAGGCAAAGCGGCGAGAAACAATGCTCCGTTGACGAGCTGCACCAACGCAATTCGTTCGGGATAAGGGCTCACTTTTTTAGGCAATCATCCTTGTCGTCATCATTTTACCTCAGGATATGCGTGATTCAGGCGCTAAGCAATTAGGCTGTACTTGTCTGTGGTCAACTTGTGTAAAGGCCGCGGCATTACCTAAAGTAGCAACGTTGTCCATCGGCATGTCTGCTTCAGCGTCATTGATGTTGGTGTTTTCGGGGCGTAGACCACATAAATTTCTGCTTCTTAGTATGTCTTCTGTGACTGGGGAGGGGGAAGGTTCCAGAAGGTCCAATTACCCAGCAGCTTCACCTAAGCTGGGCAGGATGCGATTTGTTTAATTACAATGCGAAAAAACTGCTGGAGAAAACCCCAGAGATAGTTGCAAACTGCTGGTCAGCAACCTTTAATCTTGTACGCCTTGTCTTGTCATTTCTTGCAGTCCTCTTTCGCGCTAGTTACAACATTTAATGAAATCGTTGTTATTGCCATGCTAAATAACTTTCTTTGCAGCCGGCAAGAGCATCTCCTTCTACTTCTCTCTTCGGCGCTTTCATTGGAGCGTCACCATGTACTCCAACATGGCGGCTGGTTTCGGGGCGCTCGACATCGTATGCTCGGGCCTCTTCATCGGGTTCTGCAGTCGTGTGCTCAAGCTGCCTGACTTGGTGATGGCCATGGCTGGCATATTCTCTATGACAGCTTTTCTCGTCATCAAGGGCCTCTCGCGTGAACCATGGATGTTTTACATGGGTAAGCGATGATGTTTATTTTTTATGTACGTTTGTGCAGTACGTTCTACTGAGAGCACAGAAGCATCTCTTGCTAGTTTACTTTCTTCAATGGTGTGCCGTTAAGAGACGCTTGAAGCAGATGTGTTGCCATAGGCAGTTAGTGCTATCGGCACTGTGCGAACAATATGCCGCAAGGCATGTAGCGTTGAAAAAGAGAAAATAACAAAAAACGCCAATTTGTTCAATTTCTTTACCGCGTTCGTTTAAAGGGGCCCTGAAACGGTGTTCTTAAATTTTGTCTGTGTTTAGGCTATGGTGGGCTACAGAATCAAGTAATCATTCGCGATGCCCGGGTATTAAGGGAACTATTGAGAATGATATTGCCACTTTCCTTTTTAAAGTTGTGTTATCGTGCTATCACACGTGTAAGTGCTGCCTTGCTCTATCACGCCCCTCAACTTAAGAACTCTAGAATAACTCGCTGCTGGGCTAGTTGGTGCATGTCCTAATTAAACGGCCACTTTTGCGTTAGCATTTATATTTGTTTTCTACTTCTGTGCGATCGTAAATTTGGCGCAAAATGGGCAATTGAATTCCGACTCTAGAACCTTCGAGATAATGGTAGAACCTTCCGACGGTATTACGACGACAACGGAAACAGTTTTTTTAGAACATACAACGCCGCTAGCGATAGTGCCGTGATATTGAATGGAACACATATAAATGCCGACGCGTGCCATCCCTGGTCAGTTGATCAACGGCCGATGCTCGTCTCACTTCCATCAGTGTCCATGTGTTGCTATAATCTCCCCTGCAGTTGCCTCGCCACAAATTCGGCCAAATAAACAGTTTGATCTTCAGAATATATAGTCTGCTGTCTCCGTGAACAGCATGCCCATGTGACATCTGGTAGCAGTGCTTCCTGGCCCAAGTACCAAACTCTACCCTCCAGCCATGAGCCAAGCCCACACCGTCAAGGGGATGTTGGCGCCAAGGCTGAGCGACGAGCCAGCCACAGGCAGGAAGGACTAAAGCCAATCTACGGTCTGCTTTACGAGAACACTAAGCACCAACAAAACTAGATCAACTCCACTGAGAATAACCGACATTACACAGCCAGCACCGATCCTTCTCCGGCTTCCCAAGGAGCCTCCCACTTTTTGGCGGTCATCGTTTGAAGACCCAGAAAGTTGGCTGGAGATGTACAACCAAGTCGCCACCTTGAACAGCTGAGACCCAGATGAAAAACTTGTTTTACCTAGAAGACGCCAAGACGACATGGCTCAAGAACCGGGAATGCACGCGATGAGCCTAGTATCTCTTTCAGACAACGTTCCTCAGCACCTTCACGAGTGTCGTCCTGCAAGGGACGTGCCGCTACTGCCTTGGTGACACGTATGCAATCTCCCAATAAAAACGAGTATATGTTTGTCGAAGAGATGGCCCGGCTCTTCCGTCACGCCGACATCAACATCATCAATCACAGACCAGAAGAAAGTGAGCTGCTTCCTCATGAGGGCTGTCAAGCAAAAAGTCTTCGCCGAATTGATCAGGAACCCGCCGAAGACGGTCACCGAACTTGCTTCGAAAACATCTACTATTGAGAAGAGGCTCTACATGCACACGCGCTATAAAAACGCAACTTGTCGGCTACAAGCTGCGCCGACATCCAAGCGCTAGGAACCACCGACCTGCTTGAGACGATCGGAGCGATTTTGGAAGAGGAGCTGCGAAAATCGCTAGCTGCCGCGCAGTCTCAAGTGAACTCCCTCGCGGACGTCGTAGGCCAAGACATCCAGCAATCGCTTGGCGTTCTTCAGCTTCCAGAGTCGCAAGTACAAGCCATGAGCTACGCTACAGCAGCCTGTTGTCAGGTGCTCTATACCTACGCCAAGACGCCGCATCACAGCAGTTTCACCCCCGAAAACATTGCCGTCTCCACCATAGTCATACCGCTCGCCAGCCAGCCACCGATACGCGTCGAAGAAGAGTGACGTTTAGCGTGCTTCCGACCACCACTCATTATGCTACCACTGCGGGAAAGATAGCCACACCTACCGGCACAGCCAGTGCGAGAAAATGGGGCTACGCAGTTTTTACGTAAACGCCCCGTGCCAACATCTAGGTGAACGACCTCTAGATATCGCCGACTACCTCGCAGGAGCGCAGTCGACACCTCGAAGACCTTACCGCTCACCGTCAACAGGCCACTACACGCCACCGCAATGCCGTCAGCACACCGGCCCTACTCGAGGCCGTACCATGTTCGGAAAACTAAGGGCAGCAACCGATGGACGTGCGGTTGTTGTACGATGACCTACCAAAAATCTTTCTCCACCACTGATGGCGGCGCCGCAATGAAGTCGAAAGCCCCCGCTTGAAGATGAAAGCGGCTTCGACATCCAAACTTCACAGCCCGAAGAAGGCCTCAATACGCAACGTGGGTGCAGTGGAATGAACCGACATAGCCATGACCGACGCAGCGACTCAACCGCAACGCACGACAGCGAACTAGCGGCCTCGATGTGTAACTTCGTTACGGCAACTCCGTAACTGCTCTCGTCAAAACTGCAGCTGGCTATACCGTCGTCGGTGGGCCTTTCGTGACGGCGTTGAAGAAAGTAAAGACTGCATGGCAAAGCACAGAAATTCGGACCATTGGAAATCATCTACTAACGCCGGTGGGAGTATGCACTTCGAGAGTCACTATCAATAACCAGACATATTTAGTGAGTTTTGTAATTCTTCAATCCATCAACGTTGCTCCAGAGATGTGCTACTTGGGATGGACTTCCTAAGTCAACATGGCGCTGTCATCGAATTGAGGTTCAGATCAATAATACTAACCTCAGAAAACTAGCTGCTCATCTCCACGACGCCAAAGAATCACGTATTTAATGCGCTTGAAGACCAAGTCACCCATCCTTCTTGCTGAACCGTCATCGTTTCAATCGGCTCAAAAACACCCGCAGACATTGCAGGTGGCATTGAGGGCAAAAATCACCGATTCCTTAGCCATCAAAATTGCGTTTCAAAAAGCATCACCGAGCTGCGTCGTGGGAAAGCGAAGGTAGTCATGACTAACTTCAGCCACGAATACTGGTACCTCGTCATGGTACGACGGTCGCCTACATGGATGAATTCGTTGACGCCAGTGATTCTTTCACCCTCTCCAACGCTTCCAAAAGTGCTTCGACAAAACGACGTACCCAACGCGATTTCTACATCAGCTTGAACCTTCTGAAGTACTAGCAAGACCAGCTCTTCTGCAATTCAAGGACTGCTTCTCGTCATCGACAAGAATTCGACAGACCTGAGTCGCGAAGCATCGAATCATAACAGAAGAAAGTGACTGACCAATCCGTCAGAGCCCGTATCAAGTTTCAACGTGAGAATGCGATGCTGGTAAGAAACAAGTCGACGACATGCTACGCGACGACTTAATCCCGCCGACAAAAAGTGCCTGGACATCTCCCGTTGTGTTGGTCAAGAAGAACGGAACCCTACGTTTCTGTGTCCACAGTCGTCGCCTAAACAAAGAAGAAGGACGTATATTTCCACCCACGGTTAGACGATGCCCTATATTGACTCCACAAAGCTGTGTACTTTTTGTCGATGGACCTCACGACAGGCTACTGGCAAGTCAAGGTTGACTAGAGAGGCGGAAAAAACACAGCCTTTATAACACCAGATGGCCAGTTTGACTCCAAAGTCACGCCTTTTGGTCTTTGCTCGGCCTCCGCTACATTACAACGCGTTATAAACACAGTACACGCTGGCTTGAAGTGGCTGACTTGCCTCGTCACAGAGTAGTTACCTTGAAAATGGTTGAGGCCTTGCCTGTAGCAGTGCAGCAACGCAGCGCAAAAAAAGCTAACACTGTTTGAAGAGGCCCGCAACAATGAGCAGTTGCCTTCTTGAAAATCGGGCTCGCTGGACAGGATATTCAACTTTCAAGGGATACTAAAGTCCAACAACAAGTTACGTCAGAGTGAAAACACAATGTATGACAACATCTAAAACGACAATAATATCAGCAGCAATGCCCTACCTACCGAGATAGAATGCTTGTCTAGAATAGAAGAATTAGAACTAAGACGTACGAGACGGCAAGGCATAGATGGTACCGACCATGCGTTTAAACTCTTCAATGCAACAAGCGTTGCAATGAAGACGGCTTTTAGACAGCTTCTATTCGTTGCTCCTCTATTTTTAAATGGAGAACAAAGGTCGATCGGTCGGTCGGTTGGTCGGTCGGATGTGCCCTTTAGATTGGGGGGACGCTCACCCCACCTAGCCATAAAGTTAAGTACTAACACTATGTGTTAAAGGATATAATTGCACTCGTGACTTGATTGTAGCCACCAATCAGTTAGCCCCCTCATGGTTGTTTCTACCGGTTAAGGTATATTTAACCTTCACTGTTCCTAAACCACAGTGCTTTGAAAAATTCCACGTCATTATCTGGGACTATAGGGTGGCGCCCTTTACAGAACTTTATAAGATGTCCGGCTGTTTCCTCCTCCTTTCCACACGCACTATATTACGTGTATTTGCCTTCATATTTGGCTCGGTACGTCTCGGTCCGAAATACTCCCGTTCTGGTCTTAAACAGCAGAGAATTATCCCCAGCATTATCGTAAATCTTTCTTTTGCAATTTCTTGCTTGAAAGTTTTGTAGGTCTCATGTGATGATATCGTAAGCATTCAAATTTTCTTATCTCTCTTCTCTTTCTTTCCTTAAGTTTCATCTTAACCTATGTTTTCTTTTGGCTTGGTATTCTGCAGTTATATAAATAATTCCTTGACAATTTTCGAGTTTGCTTACTTCATTGTGTATCTGAAAAATAGTATCTGAAAAGCAAGTAGCGGTAAAGTTTCCTAGGCCAACGCTCCTCTCCAATTTTTTCAAACCCTCCTAAAGTTCTACCTTGCTGCTAGCTTCCCTACCCTCGAACGATGTCCATCCCATGTCACCTTGTGCCCGTTGATTTGGGGTATTCTCGTGTACTCTTCAAG